AACGTCCACGTTTTATCTTCTTCTCTCTCTCTCTCTCTCTCTCTCTCTCTCTCTCTCTCTCTCTCTCTCTTTCTCTCTTTCTCTCTCTCTCTTTCTCTCTTTCTCTCTTTCTGCCCTTCCACGCTCTTACTGTTTTCTTTTTCTCTCTTCGTTTCTCTATCTCTCCGCTTTCGGTGAGCAGAACACGAAAGTTCACGCAGCTTTCTTATCCTATTCCAATTATCTCGTTGCGTTCAACCATGGAAATTTACAGATGAGAATTAGTGTACCTAAATGAAGAGCAGATTCGAAGTCGTTCGCGTGATGTATCATAAGTCGTCGCTCACAGTACGCTACGCTTAACTGTAAGAAAGAAACATTGCTCTAGTTTTACCGAGACTCTCGTACATATTTATTAATTTTCTTTCTTTTTTACTCGACTGGTGTCACCACGAGGACATGACGTTGGTACGAGCTTTGCTTGCGATTGTGATCCGACTTGAAAATCTCCATCTGAACACCACTTCAGATGCTTTGCGTTCTTTGCCATACGCGCAACGACCGACGTTTTTCTTCCGTTTATCGCGAACCGCTGTTCGAGGCGTGGCTCGATTCCTCTTCGGATCGTCGCGAGTCGCTTCGATCTTCTCTATCGATCGCTCCTCGTTCCACACTTTTGCAATTTCACGATTATTCGAGCATCGAACGAGGCACCCGCTCGACGAACGAACGCCGCGAATCCGTCGTTCGATTTCCGAATTTGTTGTCAGAGGTAGTCGAACGGTTGGATTTTTGGTGAAAGGACTCGAACGCGGAGCGCGATGGCTGAAATTTCGAGCGAAAAGAAAAATTCCGGTTCGACGAGCGTTCGAAAAAGCATCGTATGTATATGTATGTACCTTGGAAAATCAGATCCAAGCAAACTCGAGCCACCGCAACCATATTGTCTCCGGATTAATAAATAGGACTTTTGCGTTAGCCAGCGAGATGGTTAGAAAATAAAATGAAAATACCAATGTCGCGTCGTCCCGTGTCATCGTGAGCTCCTCGGCGACGCGAGCTCGCGTGGAAATTCACGGTGGCACGCGCGACGTTGTGGAAGGTCGGAGATATCGACGGCGAAGATGTACAATAAATGCAGATACACGCTGGTCGACGAACGCTTGGAAAGGAATGAAAGATCGACGAGGAGTAACGTAGGGACGGGGGAGAGGGCACGAACGTCGGCGTTTCATCACGTCCATGAACTCTGCGCTTTCGGGTGGTTCCACTTGAGATGCACGCGTCGCCGGTCGCCAAGATGGCGGACCGATTGGCGAACGATAGAAACTTTTCCGAAATATGTACAAAGTCATCGTATACACGCGTCATGCACGACACACATGGTCACACACGTTACACCGGAGAACGACAAAACACGTTGCGCCCGTACGGTTGTTCTCTTTTCTGTTCCGTTTGTTTGGAAGGAGGGAAAAACGGTGCTTCGGCCGCCGGCCATCTCGCGAAACTTTCACCTAATGGCCGAACACGGCCGTCGGCGTCGTACTCGCGACTTTGCTCTTTTGGTCATTCGGCTGTGCGAGACGCTCGAGAGACGCTCGAGAACGTTCGAGAGTGAGGCAGGCGTGGTGGATGGAGAGGAGCGAGTGGACCGAGCGAGAGAAACGGCTAGGCACGCGCATACCATACACGTACACACACGTTCAGAGATCACACACTTACGACTACAAATCATTGAATTAGATAGATAAGCTACGCGTGAAGCCAGTACAGTCC